GGAATGAGAGCGGCTCCCTGAAGCAGCATCTATATTTATATTTAATATTGGTCCCTTACACATACAAAAAATAAATTACCTCTCTGTTAGAACATGAAATACAAGATAATCTGTCAGGAAATGCAAGTTAACATCTGATTCTAAATCATTAATAGAGCACAGGCAAACTGGGATTACAAATAATAATCCCATATATCAAGGCAGAATAGGTCTGCAAACTGGCAGACAGTACAACATGGTCTCATGTGGTGAGGATTTTCTTAGAAGTCTATTTTTAAACAGGCAGAGGGGTCCTGACTGCACCCAAGCTTTGCTTCAACCTTGATCTCCTAACTATCATTGACCAAGTCCAGCAGCGTGATATCTCCTTACTCTGGAGCACGTGAGGAGCACGTGCTACAGCAGTAAATAATGAAGGGGAAGAAGATTAGCATGCAGCATCCTTTGCATGTCTTTTGCTTGTGTGATGCCAGAAGGACACAGCCCAGCCTTTGCAATCAGAGGATCTGCTAAGGCTTTATTCAGGGTGTGGTCAAACTTACACATGCAGACAGTATGTGCTGAGCACATGTTCCCTATGCACCCCACAGAGGCAACGGCATCAGATGAGGGAAAAATACCAATGGAAGCCAAAATGCCATGCAGCAACAAGAATAGCCACGTGGCTTGTATGCAGCTAATACACACAGCACACTGGGGTCCCAGTTCAGCAAAACACTGTGACATTGTGCTTGACTCTAAAGATGTGCTTCGGGGCTTATGAGCACACAGTTTTTGTGCTGCTTTAATTATACCATTTTTAAAGCAATGTCGCTGAAATGCTGCATCCCCCAGAGCAGATGTATTTACACTGTTGTAAAAGCGCCTCTGCTGCCATAGCATATTTTGGTACATTTAGGAGAAATAATCTCTGCTGATGTAATGGCCCTCTATGCTGGGCTAATTGCATCTGCCCTAGGGGTTGTTGTACCCATTTAATTAAAAACCCCTCACACCTCTGACCAAAGTGATTCATTCGGCATATTGTCAATGTGAATATAGTAAATAAGGTCAGGTTCAAATTTGGTTGGGAGACCTCCCAGGGGGAATTTAGGCAGTAGCCAATATCATAAAGGGGAAACTTCAGAGGGGAGGCGGGGAATATCCTTGTCCAAATAAGCTGAGATCCAATACACTGTAACCGCCACCTTCCCATGGGATACCAGTAAACCTTAATCTTCAACAACATCCAAAAATCTAGTTCCCAGTTGCCACTCCCTGCTTGCACGCTCCCAAACTCTAGCAACATGATGCTTAGTCATGAGAGAAGAATGAAAGATCAAATGAGATCATCTGGGCGTTACCCGTGAGACAGACAGTCTCACACGCACACGGTCCTGCACATACATGGCATAGACACAGTACCCCATTGCATTTCCATCTCTTCTCCAAGGTTTTTTCAAAGCAGACATTATCCAGCACATGGAAGGAGGCCTGAAGTTGAGGCAGCCACTTGCCTTTCTACCTGCGCTACGCTTGAACAGGAATCATCATGTTTCCATGTATGTGCCCCATGCTGAAAGGCGCATTTTGTTCTAGAGAGCATCACAGGACAAGTTGAGACAATGCTCAGCTGAATAAGGGTACAGAAAGGAGTGTTCCCAAAGGCGTGTCTGTGGTTGTGGCTGGACTTGCTGTTTAGATAAGCCAGCATGTGTCTTCATGTCTGCAAAAGGAAGGGCTTGGCTTGCTCACAATTGCACTTTGACTTGCAGATGGGCAGCCAAGAACTAGCTGAAAAAAGTTGCTGCTCAGCATGCTAGGACACATACAAGGAGCGGGAAGGTTTGTCCCTGTTTGATGTGTGCAGGAAATGAAGGCGCAGAACAGAGGCTTCTCATAAAACCAACAGATCGTGGAGAAGGAGAGACCACAGACAGGAAACAATGTCCCAAGGGATGAGGGGAGGGTAGTTTGGATCTAATTAGAACCGAGTCAGGACCTGTGTTGCTATATCTGCTGAACACGGCACGTTCTCTAGGTGCATACGTTAAGTGCCAGAGAGACATTTTGCTCTGTGCACATGGGCAGTGATGCTATTAGTGTCTAGGAAGGCTCCAAGAAACATTGTTTGGGCTTTTGAATTTTCACACCCCTCTGTGCATTTTGCTTTTAGTCAGTACAAGGAGCAAAAGTACTGGGCTTCTAAGAGAAAGAAGATCATTCTTGGTCCTCCCAGCATCGCTCAAACCAAGTACAAAACCCGCTCACCACTAAACTCATTTTCTTGAGATTCCCGGGCCGCTTTCCAGACAGAAAAGTGTCAGCTGAGTCTAGGAAATGAGGATAACTATCCATGCTAAACTGAACCATTTTGCCATCATCTCCAATTAGTATCAAGTCCCTGCCATGGACATGACTTACTCCTCCGTCCTCTGAAAAGAACAGCTCATGTCATGACCTAACACAGGCTTCTTTGAAGGGGATAAAGTCAACCTCTATCTGCACTGCAGTTTTAAAGGGATTGTTAAAATCTCCTTGGAGCAGGAACTCACATGTGCTCACACGCACAGCGATTGCACTCTCAATGCCACGATGCACCTTGCATCATGGGAAATGGCATGTTCCCTAGGAAACAATGGTGATGGTACAAGTTACTCATGCTAATGCTACTGTTTTCTCTCCTGAGAAGGGAGTGATTCACATGTTTCCCTGCTGCAGGGTACCAAACGCTATTTGCTGAGAGGTGGAGTTCACCTCTCTCCCGAGTGCCTGTCTTACACATGAATTCTCCCTAATTTAAACCCCACTTTGTTGCTCAGGTCCATGCTTTCTATGCACGGGTGGATCCATACCATGTTGCCCGGATAACTTTGTGTGCCTGATGTTGGCGTCTCACATCTAGCCCCCTAAAAGCAAAGCACTGAAATTTGTGGGCACTTTCATCATGGATGGATCACATGTGGGATCATATGTCCATAACTCAGGAACTTGGCTGGCACTGGGGAACTCCTAGAAAGTGCCGGATCTCCTTTGCTCCCCATTTACACCAACAAGCAAAATCTCAGCACCTTTTTAGGGTCAGGAGATAGCTCAGCAAAACGAACTCAGCCTCAGCAAAGGGGTGAGTTTGCATGTGAGTCCATTTTCCCATGTGACCTCCGTTCTGGGAAATCCAAGGGTCGGCAGAGGAAGAGAAGTCCCAGCTTAAAATGACAGTAAATAAATGTTTCTCTATAAAAAGGAATGTGCTGGTGCATGATAGAGGTAACAAAAGTGTCACTGTAGGAAATGAAACCGAGCCTGCGTGAAATCACAAACAGATTAATTACAAGAGCGGGAGAGAACTCTGTCTGCAAATAATGTCAGGCTTGTCAGTGGCGTTGCCTTCTGTGCCCTAAACATGAACAGAGCAAGATTGGATAGACTTAGCTGCTTCTGGAACGGTAAGATCAGCCCCACAGATTGCAACAGCCGATTACTAATGCGCTGTCATGTTCAAGCATTAGCCTGCTGTCTGCAAAGCTGGTTTGGCTTTGTTTGGCTTGCTTAATTGTGAAATCAAATATTCTGTATTGCTACATTTGCACACAGGGCAGGACTTCACAGCATGTTTGCTGCTACCAGTTTCTTCGCTGGTAGCAGGGAGGAAACAAGAATTTGACATCTTTTGGAGGAAGCCTTCAAAATGGCCCTTCAAAGGGGTTGGTTTTAGTAGACGGCCACGCTGACACTTGCACAAGGAGGCTGCTTCACTTGTGTGTATTGGGGTGGGGGTTGAAAAGCCCAATATACTGAAAATATGTAGACAAGGTTCCTTGGGTGAATTTGATATCTTTTATTAGACCAACTAATAAAAGAAACCAAATTCACCCAAGGAACCTTGTCTGCCTATGTCCTTAGACCAACACGGCTACAACCTACACCCCTGAAAACATGTATGCATTTGTTCCTGGGGCAGAGACTTTTTCATAATTATGTGCTGGTGCAGGGGATGAGACATCTAGGCGCTATTGCAATACAAAAGGTGAACAGTACTGGGGCCAAAACATTCACATAGGGTCAGACAAAGTTAGGCTCCAACAGTCATAGCCCTGCTCCTAAATATATAAGCTGCTTTCATCAACTCTGGCCATGTACAGCTGTTGTTTCTTCATGGAAGTTCAGGTGCCCCAGGAAATCAGGGGTTTGGGTTGTAGCCGTGTTGGTCTAAGGACACAGGCAGACAAGGTTCCTTGGGTGAATTTGATATCTTTTATTAGACCAACCCAAATGGTTGGAGAATAGTTATTAAGCAAGCTTTCGGGTTCAAAAACCCTTCGTCAAGCTAAGGAAGCTTCAGCAGTTGGTGTGTGCTCTTCCTGGATGGAATGAAATCAGGACACTTACTGTAATTTTGGATCCTGCCTATGGATTTAGAGAAGGGCTTTTCAAAACTACCTATGGGAATTAATGAAAAAAGGAAGATGTGTAAGAGTCTCCCTATTCCTACACACCTCATTTTGGGCACCCCTCAATGAGAACCCCCCCCCCCCCCCCCCCTCGTGTGCGCGACCCCCCCCCCCCCTCCAGTGTGCACCCCCCCCCCCCCCGTCTTTATGGGACCCCAGTCCCATCAAACCCGGGTTACAACAGAGTAACTCTACTGTCATCAGTGGAGCGACTTCTGATTTTCAGCTGGTGTAAGTACAGAATCAGGCCCTAGGTATTTTGGAAGACATGCAGCTTTATTACTCACTCATGTCTCTCCCAACAAAAGATATTGTGCCTTCAGTCTATAGACAACTTGACAACTTGGGGATGTCTGTCTATCTAACCTACGGAAGTGATCAGATTTCTAACGTGCCTATTATTGTGGCATCTAACTTTGTCAGTGTTGCTCTAAACGGCAGAATAGGAAAAGTAATATCGTCTCCA